TCACTTTCCTGGAGAGCTGGCTTCCCACATCCATCAGGAAGGAGGCAGTGTTCCCATTACTGTGGCTTCACAGCCCTCCATCTAAGGGCTTAACACACACAACAAAAGGAAATAAGACACATGTCATTTTAGCTCTGTACTTCACAAATAACAACTAGGATATTTGAAATTAAAATCAAATAGGATTTCTTACAAGCAGAAAAGATAAAAAGATATAAGGAATGAACACATATTGTAAAAACACAAAATAATAAATGGGCCTAACATATACCCAGAAAATGTGTGTGTGTTATTAAAAACAGGTTCATTTTATATATACATATGTGTGTGGTATGATATATATATACAATAGGCAAGTTCATAATTCAGACTGCCTATTTGCTATGTGTCCCAGAGTTATCACTGATGAAGGAATATGCATATTCTTCATTCATTCTTTAGGGCCCCTAAACTGCAACTTTTAATCATATAGAAGTCTTTTTAGAAAGTAAAAATAATTTTATAAAACCTATTACAACCATTACGGAAATCAGTGTGGCGTTGTCTCAAAACAAAACAAAACTACCATATAAACCAGCTATACACTCCTGAGCATATAGCATCCATATCCTATTGATGTAAAAGAAGCATAATGTGACAGAATGGTATTATAAAGGACTTACTAAGAGTCTTCTTAGAAAACATTGAGTCACACAAGTGGAATTTAGCTAGAGGAGTGCTTCCTTGAAAATACCCCAAAGATAAGTAGCCTGCTAACCAGACCTTCAAGAGATAAGGGAAATTTAGGATGCTAGAATATAAATGACTACTGACCAGAATTGGCCAGCCATTAGGCTCTGGTTCCCATGACAAAGGAGAGAGCTGGCCGACTTATGACCAGTCGTTAAGCTCCAATTCCCATACCAAAGGCATATCTCTAACAGACAGCTCATAGTGGGTACTGTCCTAAGTATCCACAAGTAGGGACACAACGGCCATTAAGTCCCCTATGCTCTCATTAGGGAAAACATAATTCTGTCAGGTGGGCAAGATGACCCTTGGCAACAACTATTTGAAAAAGAACAATACTGTCATACTCAAAACAACTCTTTGCTGTGTAAATTTCCTATCTGCCTAAGCAGCCAGACTTGCATGTTCCCATCTCGGTTTAAGGATGACAGTGTATATAAAATGTGTGTGCCTAAGCATATATTAAGCTAACGAAATCTTCGGTTGGAGGCTGGCCCTTCCTTCATTTCTAAATATATGGAGTGACTTCTCACCAGGAAGGCGTATTATTTCCCTAACACTACCACAGACATACCCATCCATGCATGTTCATTGCTGCCCTATTCACAATAGCAAAGACATGGAACCAGCCTGGATGTCCATCAACAGGTGACTGAAAGTGTGATACATCCACACAATGGAATTTGATTCAGCTGAAAGAAAAATTAAATTCTGGAATTTGCAGGAATATGGAGGGACCCAGAAAGTATGATATTAAACAAATTCAGAAGATAGCAACTACATGTTTTCCTTATATATTACACATTCCTAATGTGTAATGTATGTTTTATGTACATAAAGGGGGTAAATGAAAATAAAGCCTAAAAACCTAGGAAAGATACCAAAAGAGGGTAAAAAGAGGTGCTGAGGACAGTGTGGAGGACAAAAGGACATATGTGATATGAAGACAGAAAAAAAGACCGAGGGAGGTTACGGGGAGATTCAAGGGAGGTAAAGAAATGGGCACGATGAGAAGGAATCTACTAAAATACACTTTGTTAGAAAACATCACAATGACATCTAATGCCTTGAATGCTGATGTTTTAAAGAAAAAAGCTACAAACTCACTAAAGTCCTCAAAAAATAAGAAAAAGAAAGAAAGAAGAAAGGAAGGAAGGAAGGAAGGAAGGAAGGAAGGAAGGAAGGAAGGAAGGGAGAGGGAGGGAGAGAGGGAGGGAGGGAGGGAGGGAAGGAGGAAGGAAGGAAGGAAGGAAGGAAGGAAGGAAGGAAGGAAGGAAGGAAGGAAGGAAGGAAGGAAGAGGGAGGGAGGGAGGGAGGGAGGAAGAAAAAGGGGAAAGGAAAGGAAAGGCTCCAGTGTGCATGGGAATGTTACTATGGTCACCATGCTCTACTGGTCTATCTGCCATTAATGAGATGGGGGTAAGAAATAGCTTTGAGCTTCTTGACAGGCAACACATAAGAAGAAAAGAGGACAGTTTTTTGTTGTTGTTGTTTTTTGTTTTTGTTTTGTTTGTTTGTTTGTTTTAGTGTTTCCCCACAGGGAAACAAAAGGAGGGGGCAGGAGGGGGCAGATCTCCAACCTCCCTATTGGTGGGTTTCTTCCCGTTAGACAGTAACGGACTCCTTATTTCCTCTCACATGCCCATGCTGTTTTCATCTTCACTTTTAGGGCAACTTAGGAAGGTTCTTCTTTCTAGTTCCTGATAAATGTAGTTGTTCTCTTGATGCACATCTCTAGGAAGAGAGGAAGATTTGGGGTTTGTTGAAAAAAAAAAAAACAGATAAACTAACAGAGCTCACTATCTCAGAGTTACAAATGTGTTATCCAGGTTCCTTTGGGCACACATTGTTCCTGGCTTCTGCACTCACTGTCATGCTTGGATGTGTTCAATCTGCTTGTACACTATAAAAGGTGGGTAGCATGGCTTGATTTGCATTTAACTATTATCTGTGCTGTCAAGACTTTGTGCTTCCAATCCAAACCAACTCATCTTCATTCTATTTCAGTGGTTCTGTTGTCTGCCATTATTGGTCTCCACGTGCTTATGGCATCAAACCCTGTGAAGCAAAACCGGGGAGCCAGGCCTTCAAATGCCCTGTCCCCATGTCATTGCACCTCAAGGCATGCCAAAGAACAGCTGTCCTCCTGCAGTTCCTGAGTATGGAGCGCACAGGACAGATATTTGTGTCCAATGTAGAGATACGACTATCTCAAGGAGTCTCTTGGTTAAAGTCTTCACAGCCTGATGCCAAAGAAGGAGGCATAATATAACAGATGACTAAGCAGAACTTAATGAACCAGAACAAAATTGAGTCTTGTGTGGCATTTGCTAAAGTGGAGACTTTCCTTGAATTTGCTGGCATATACCCTCTGTACTTTCTGCAAACCCAAGAATGTAATAGTTTCTAAGTGAGTAGATCTTTTAGAGTAAGGATCCTAGGACCTTAAGGCCAAGAACCTTCCTCCCCAGTTGCTCACTCTTTCTAGCTTGCACTTGTTCTCTCTCTCTCTCTCTCTCTCTCTCTCTCTCTCTCTCTCTCTCTCTCTCTGTCTCTGCCTCTCTCTCTCTCTTTCGTCTACCACCCCCCCCCCATATCCATGTGAACTAAAGTGGAACTGGAGCCTAATACACACCAGACACTTTGTCACTAATCTCCAACTCCCCCTGTCCTAACCATAGTATTCTGTATGTAAAGAATGTTCAGAAGATACTGCATGTCCATTTTAGAAGATATCAACTCAAATTTGAAGATAAAAATAGGCAAACAGGCTTCTATATTTCTGTATTTATTAATTTTTATGTATTTATTGTGGAACACTAGTAGATGCAGTTTGGGTCTGATATTCAGGGACATCTGCCCACATGAGTAAGTGTTCTGTGGTTTCACACCATATCAAGACTTTGGCCACACTCTATCTTGTACTTTTCCATTTGATTTAGACTTCCTCTTTATCATTTTCATCCTGGCCGGAGCCCCCTAACAGCCTTCAAAGACAAGAATCCTTTCTCCTCCAGTTATTCTCAGAGTCTGAACATAATTAACTCAGTCTCAACTACTGTTTGGTACCAACTCACCAAATGTCTTCGGGGAGTCCCACCAAGAGAGCATGTGGCTAGACAAAGCCGGATGCTAACAATATGTTCTTTTCCGATGAGTTTGGTGGTTTCTTTTCTTTCCCGAGTGGGACAATTTGGACAGCTATCTGACTGAAACAGCTCTCCTTCAATATCGGAGATTAGCAGCAGGACCCAAAGAGGTGGGGTGACCTCAAAGATCAAAATATGACCTCACATTTCGAAGATGAAAGATTCAGTCTCAGATAGGTCAAGAGTAGCTAGGGCTAAAGAGGAAGTTACAGATGAATCAAGAGTTAGATTCAGCCAGTTCTTAGCCAGGGTGGCTCTCAGAAGGAGTATTGAATCTGCTTTTATGTAGTAATTTTCAAAAGATTCAGGGACCACTAATTAACCTTGATAAACAATAGACAATAGTAGATGTTGATGAAGAAGCAGGGGATGTTAGCTCTCCATGCATGCCACCCCCCTGCTCCAGAGCTCCCTTGATGCCCCGACAAGCCAGATACTGATGCATATGGTTTTGATTTATCTTGTGGTGTGTAAGTCAGTAGTGTCCATGCTGTTGGAACTGTCATCGGCCGCTCTGAAGCAGTCAGACATATACAATTGTTCCTAGTCAAAAAGGCATACTAAGCCTGTAAAGAGAGAAAATGTCACCAGCCCTGTACTCCTCCCTGATCAAATAGGTTGTCACAGTGATCAAAGCTTTAGGAGAAGGCTTAAGAACTCCAGAACACATAGCTTAAACCATGCCAAGTCCATTTTTATAGTGAAATTGACACAAAAGGTTTCATTTGGCTAGTTCGGAAATAGACTTGAAATCTGAACCAAGCCCAATACAACAAATACTGCTGAATGATGTCTGACAATTTTTCATCAGAATACTCCCTTAAACTGCCTTCCATGCATCGCAGAAAATCAGAGTGGCTTCTAGTCTTAAAAATCTATAAATTACATATTGTATAAAATATATTAAAGAATAAATGATAGGGGCTGGAGAGATGGTTCAGCATTTAAGGACTTGAAGAGAACCCCTATTCAGACTGGGATCAGCCATCTGCACTCACATGACCACTTACAACTGCCGGCAACTCTGGTTTCAGAGTATCTGATGCCCTCTTCTGGCTTCCTAGGGCACTAAGTATATGCAACGCACTTATATACATGCAAGCAAAACACTCAGACACAAAATAAAAACAAATCTTTTTTTAATGACAAAATATCCAATTACTGTCTATTTTAAATGTCTTCATTTATCAGTCAACATCTTTACTGGTCACAAACACAAAATAATCTTCATTGTTTGACAACAAAATCAATAAATGCTGGTACTTAAGAGTGTGAGACTTCAGTTAAAGCCTTTTCTACTGCCTATCTACCCAATTTTCAGGTCATATTTGGGGGGACAGCTACTCCTTGAGGACATTTTCAGATGTTATTCATTATACAAAAACTAATCATTATCCTGGCTAGAACTTACCACAGCCACAGCCCCACCCATTATCAAATTGCCAACTGGCTCAAGAAGCTCCCTAAGAGGACCATCCAGAGAAAGCTTTCTCAAAAGCTGTTGTGGGAGCTGAGTTTGGTGATGAAAACTTGTAGTCTCAGCACTCAGATGGGGAGACAGGAGAACTGCAAGTTTCAGGCCAGCCTGGGAATAATAGTGAGATTCTCAAAACAAAACAAAACCACCAAGGGAGGCTGGCAAGATTTACAAGCAAAGTCAAGAGCGTCCTCTTGTGGGGATGAAAAATAGTGATTTATTTTCTCCCCCTTCATTCTCCATTTATTTCCCCCACAAGACTACATCTTAGAGAAGGGTCACAAATAGACAGGTGATAATACAGTTGATCTCAGCCAAAAGGCGACAGGGCAATAATCCCAAGGAGGCTGAATATTAACTTCTCCTCTCCATAGGCTGCAGGATTGTAGAGATCTTTACATTGTCAACATAGGACTTGGTAAAGCCAGTTGAAAAGCCCCAGGGAGGCCTCACCAAACTGTCAGAGGGCTTCTAGGGGCAGCAGGCTCAACTCACAGATACCAAGACAAACTAAGTATACCACAAAGCAGGGTGGGAGCACAGCTCAGTAGTGGAGTCCTTGCCTAGAACACACAAAGGTGATCCCTAGCCCTGAGGGGGGCGGGTGGGGAGTGGGGGCAACAGAGGCTTATGCGTCCTGGACAAGAGACCACAAATGGAAGCAAACAGGCAGAGAAAGCCAGTGTGACAAGAGCAGCCGAGTGGTATCTGCACCGTCAGACTAGCCCACCCACTTCTCTTTAGTTCCCAGTGCAAAGTCTGAAAAGAAGACAGGATGGACAGGTAGAAAGTACGGCGTGCACCACTGTTCATCCTGCCATCTGGCGGCCGTATGGAGGAACTGGGTTAACCACGCCCTCTCAAGGACACCTGGGAGGCCCTTTACCAACAGCCACAGCTGGAAAGACCAAGTCACTTATGGCCCTCCCTAGAACAGTCTCCACACTTCTGGGGGAAACGACAGCTAGCAATTCCAACTCACTGCCCCTTTCTTTCAGCTCTGTATTTCATTGGCAAAACCCGTTTGCCTTGGTCAAAGGAGAAAGAAGGGCTCCTGGAAGGAACCTGTGGCCAGGGAGGAGGGTGACTGCAGGAGGCACACCCATTGTTTTGACTACTTCAGTCCTTTCCAAGGCTGTGAGGAAAAACCACCCAGAGGTTGTGCCAGTCTTTGGACCTACCTAGGTATCACTTGTTATAAGCATGTATCCATCTTGTCAGTCCCCACATAGTTACTATAATGAAGACTCCATTGGAGCATGCAAAGATGAATGGTGGTGTGTACTCTGTACTTAAGTGCGTAGGAGTTTGAGCCCTCTGATCTGTTTTGCTTGCTTTGTTTTTTTTGCAGGCACTAGGGCATGGACTGTCTCTGTCACCTTCATTTGTCTCATTTGTTCAAGGAAGGAGGTGACTGACAGGCAGCCCAAGGTTCTGCCTGCAACTAGCCACTGCCTGGGGAAGGGCTTCATTACTGCCTGGTCTGAATTCAGAGCCTTGCTAGCATGAACTGCGCAAGCAGCCCCAGCCCTCTTTTGGCCCAGGATCCCTTTCTCACCCCCCAAATTATTCATGGACTATGTTAGTGAAGTTTCCAAGGAGGGGAATGAGAATAGAGGAAAAGTCCTGAGTCCCACCCAAAAAAAAAAATCAAGCATAGACTAGCCATTAAAAAGCAAATACCACCACACAATTGTTCAGGCCTGTGAGGCTGAGATTTATTGAAAAATTTAAGTATGAACCTTTAAAATGTTACAAACTTGTATCATTCCGCCTGCATGTATGGACCAACATCAAGTAATATTGCTGCATCTAAGTTAACTAGGTCAGAAAACTTATCAACCAGCTCTTCGGCTGACAATAGACACATCAGTGCAGGCAAAGCGGACAGACTTGGGCTTCCTGCACACAATATTGCGCATACAACACTGGTTTTCAAGCTAGAATTCCTGAGTTGAACTTTGACCTGAAAACACTCAGTTCATTTGCGTGAAAATGAGGCAGGACACTTGTCACAGGCAGCCAGCCTTGGCTTCATGCAGACACCATCATTGCAGCCACATTCACTTCTGGAAGATCAGTGGTTTGTCCCTTCACAGGATGCTTCTTCACAGAAAAGTGACCTGGTGGGCAACCACATAAGAACACACACAGTTGAGTGTATCGATCTTCAAAGTATTTACAACAGTTTTTTGTTTTGTTTTGTTTTTAAATCAGTGCAATCTGCTTTTCAAGATTCTTGGCTTTTTTTTTTTTTTTTTTTTTTTTTTTTGGCTTAGCTTGGCATGGAAAAATCTGAATATTTGTTAAACACTTGTTATTGAGGTTTGATAAAATCGAAAAGAGAATATTTATTCCCGGCAAGGCTGGGATAACACTGGATTTGACCAGGTAGTAAGCACATAAAAACATGAAAAATGTTGTTTAGACAGGTAAACACAGGATACATTGGGCTGGAGAACATCTAAGGCAAGGAGATGAGAATTGAGTACTTTGGGTTTTTTTTGCCTCTGTCTTTGGTTTTTTGAGATAAAGTCCCAATCTCTAGATAAGCCCTAAATCTAGCAGCAGTCTTCCTGTCTCAGTCTCCCGAGTGCCACGTCAAGCCCAGAACAAGGTGTTTTTCATACTGTGTTCAGATGAGAGACAGGTTTATTTCTGCTAACAAACGACAGCTTGAAGTGTCTTCTGTGTGCTCCCTTGTGGTGGGTGGGAATAGAAAGGTAACTGAGCAGCTTTCAAATTACAGAGGGGTTGGCAAGAAAGCTCTGTGGGTAAAATGCTTGTTCCACAAGCCTGAGAAAGAACCTGAGTTTATATCCCTAGAATCAATGTAAAAACGCTGGGTGGCGCGTCATGTGCCTATTACCCCAGCATTGATGAGAGCGAAGTCAGAGACAGGCAGGTCCTGGAGGCTCATTGGCCAGCCAGTCTAGCTGAAATGGCTTCCTCCAGGTTCAGCAAGAGACCCTGCCTCAAAAAATAAGATGAAGAGTGTCTGAGGAAGACAACCTCCACACAAGGCAGGTCTGGCCCGTGCACAGCACACACATATGCATGTATAAGTGGCACACAAACACCAAAAACAATTGTAAAAAAGTAACAGAATGATTCCAATGACGTTTTCACATATCACCCATACTTTTTAAAGACTTAGAGAGGCATCGCTGGTCGTTTATCATAATAAAATTAGACAACTAGCATGCTTCTTACTAACCAGAGAGCACTGGACATCTTCACAGTCATCATTTGCTTGCATATAAAAAACATTTAGGCAAGGAAAACACAAGCATTTTACAGAAATTAAGCAAACATCTTTTTGCCCTATTAAAGGATATATACCTCAAGTCTGGCTTTCACTGGTATTTCCTCAATAGACTGACTATTTCATTATACATCCTCCAGGGGGCATCCAAACCCCAGAGAAAATCCAGATGTTCCCACTCAGGAATGTGCTTGTGGTACACTAAGTTGGGGATCTGAGTCAGTAAGATATTGACGTCTCTGGTGTCTGCCAGCCAGTCTCGGTCCCCGCTCCACAAAGCAGTGGGTACAGACATGTCTCTCAAGTCATACAGAGGGGGGTAACTCTGCAAGAAAAAAAGATTCACAGAAATCTTTGTAATTGTTCTTGTTATTGTTTTATAAATGTTATAAAAATTGTAATAAATGCAATCTCCATTGAAAAACAAATGTCTAGTAAGTCTGACCTGAAATTAAAACAAATAAACAGACAAAACCCACACATTTTGAGAATCACTTTCCTGTTTTTCAGGCAGTCATGACAAGGAAAGAATTGGAGCTGTGGACATGTTCCCCTCAGCCACACTGTAGGGACCATTTAATCCTGATTGATCACCATGGTTATCCCTAGATGTGGATGCAAGGACCCAACTGAGCAGGAAGGAGCTGTGTTCAGATCCTCCTACATTCTCCCCCTGAATGTGAGAAAAGCCGCACAAACCCTCCATGGCGCAATTTTCTAAACTTTAAATCACAAACACAAAGGGCTACTTTCTAAACTTTAAACCACAAACACAAAGGGCTACTTTGGGAACTAAGAAAAACAGAAAGATTTTCATACTGCAGGGAACTCGGTGCTCAAAAATGGGAATTTTATTTTTGCACAGAGAAGAGGCTTAAGCCCTGTAATAGGTCTGAGGTCTCACCTCCAGCAAGCCGCCAACAGCCCAGGGCGTCCCGGTTCTAAAGTGTATGCTTATGACCCTACCGAATCCCAGTGGCCCCTTATCTACAGCGAGAGAGGATGGGGACAGGAGACCTGCACCATTCCACCACTGACAGATCTGGAAAGATCTGAGTGTACTGAGAGAAAACACCTTGCCTAGCCAATTCTGCTGACAACATTCCCCTGGTAGCTGAGCCCAACCAAGTTCTGGAAACCCAGGCTGGCTTCTTTAGTAAGTTTTCAAAGCTTATTTTAATTAAAAGTTTTACCTGGTTATAATGAAAATAATTCTTGTCACTGCTTCCCCAGTCATAAGCTTGAAACTTCTGGTGTTTAACAACCTAAAAACAATAAAATTTGGAGGAAAAAAAAGTTAGCAGACACTGAAGTTTGAGATAATATCATAGGTTGCTACAGTCAGCCAGATCTTCAGAAATCAAGTTATACCCAAATCCAGGTTTATTCATCATTTCCAAATTTTATATATATAAACATATATATATATATATATATATATATATATATATATATATATATATATATATATATATATAAAATTTTGGTGGGGGAATTGAGACAGGGTTTTTCTGTGTAACAATCCTGGCTGTCCTGTGCTGTGGGATGGTCTGTATGTCAAATGTGTTGCTCTGATTGGTCAATAAATAAATCACTGATTGGCCAGTGGCTAGGCAGGAAGTATAGGCGGGACAAGGAGGAGAATAAAGCTGGGAAGTGGAAGGCTGAGTCAGAGAGACACTGCCAGCCGCCATGATGAGAAACAGCATGTGAAGATGCCGGTAAGCCACGAGCCACGTGGCAAGGTATAGATTAATAGAAATGGATTAATTTAAGCTGCAAGAACAGTTAGCAAGAAGCCTGCCATGGCCATACAGTTTGTAAGCAATATAAGTCTCTGTGGTTACTTGGTCGGGTCTGAGTGGCTGTGGGACTGGCAGGTGAGAGAGATTTGTCCTGACTGTGGGCCAGGCAGGAAAACTTTAGCTACAGTCCTGGGACTCACTCTGTAGACCAGGCTGGCCTGGAGCTCACAGAGATCCACCTGCCTCTGCCTCCTGAGTGTTGGGATTAAAGGCGTGCACCACCACACCTGGCTCCAAATCATTATTTAAAATAAAATTAAAACAGTGCTCTGGTTTCCTTTACTCCATGACTGAATTTCCAACTGGATAGTTGGGAAAACAGCTATGACCTGAAGGGTTACCCCCATGAGATGAACTTTATCTGTATGGACGTTTTACACTAAAATTTGCTCCTTAGGCTTTCTCAAAGAGGTAGTGATTTTACTTGGAGATGTACATGCATATTGATATTTCAGACTGTGATCAGCTACTGTATGTACAACAGTGGTCCAGTAAAGCTGTATCACTAAATGACATTGTAACTATCACAGTTTGTGTTCAGTATACTCTATGATGTTCAAACAATAATGACATTGCTTAGTGAAATGTTACCCGAAATGTATACCTCTCCTTAAGAAACGCCTGACTATACAAACATAAGGTTATGTTTTTGTCTATCCTACTTATCTGTATGTATTATTTATTTAGATTTTGAGAGAGTATACATGTGTACACTGTGTGTGTGTGTGTGTGTGTGTGTGTGTGTGTGTGTGTGTGTGTTACACACACTTGCATATGTATGGAGGCCAGAGGTTGATTTTGGGTATTTTCATCAGTCTCTCTCTCAATCCTGCTTTTTGACACAGGATCTCTCTGAGCCTGGAGCTTACTGATTGGCTAGGCTGGCTGGCCAGTGAGCCCCAGAAATTTTTCCTGTCTCCTCATCCCTAGCACTGGGATTACAGGCACTGCCACAGCACCCTGACATCAAACTCAGATCCTCATGCTTGTATGCAAACATTTTTGCCAACTGAGTCATCCTCCCAAGCCCATTTGTTCATGTTTTAATGACTTACTAACTGAACATTTTTCTTCAGACCTGGTACACAGCACTAAACTTTTCTGTACGCTATCACAATTTTAACGAGCGATACTACCACTATGAAACGATAAGAGTATGAAAATATCAACAAAAATTCATTTATTTGTGAAATGTCAAACAATACAAGCTTATATTTCCCTTAAACGCCCAAATTTAAATGGATTAACCCCAAAATTGTCAAGTCAAGAGAAGTGCAAATTGTTCATTTTGGCCACATGATGGGAACTGGCTAAGAAAAAACCAAACAAAACCAGACATCCTTTGTCAGAAATGTTCTTGATAGCTGTAAAGTTTCAGTTCGCATCAACTACATACATCATAACGTATTTCTTTTTGATAGGATAAAATCAGTGTGAGATTAGAGACTACAGGGAAATGCCACTAGACACGTTTAGCATCCATTTTTGCCATTGCAGGTGACAGGTGTTAAAATACTTGTGACATACTGAGCAAAATACAGACAGACTTACAGCTCCTGTGACTGCATCCACTTCTACCTCTAACTGCAAGAGCTAATGCCCCAGTGCAGCCACGGTATGCAGGTTTTCGTTTTCCACACTCTCACATGTCATACGTGTGTACAAAGCACCAGGTCAGTAGGAAATAGCTTCTAGCTCAGCCTAAGTTTAGTGTGCTCAGTGTCCCTTGGGACTTCAAGCTACCAGCACTGTTTTTAAAAACTTAATCAAATGTACATTTTTTTTCAACAAGTTTCAAATAGTGGATGGCATCAGAATGATCTAAGGTAGTAATTAATATGCAGATCCTAGGAACACATTCAGAATTCAGATCCTGGATGGATGTGGGACAGGCCCAGAAAACTATTTTATCAGTATCCTCAGTAGTGTGGCTAACACTGTAAAGCTAGGTGAGGACAGGACTCTTCCAAGAAAAATAAGTACCCAGGCTCTGGTCAGCGGTCAGGAGGCGAGAGACAAGAATAGGTGGGACCCGGTTATAAGCTTGTCAGATTTGGCTTGGAGGTTGATATGGTCAACCTTGATTGTCAATTTGATGAAATTTGGAATCAACTAAGAGACACCTCTAGACATGTCTGTGTCTAGGAGGGTGTTTCCAGGAAGGTGTATCTAAGGAGGATGGGAGATCTACTCTGCATGGGTGGTATTCCATGGATGGGACTAAATGAAGAGGAAAATGAGCCAAGCACCCGTATCATTTCCTGAGGCCATCTGACAAGTACCAAGGTCATCTCAAGAGCCCAGGGGGAGAGCAGTAACAAGAAAACACCAGGCAACGGCTGGACAAAGTACCTCCTGTATTGACAGAGGGACACCGCAATGAGCAGAAGGGCAAAGGGAACAGTGCCCTCTCCACGGAGTCATGGGTTTGGAAAATGCTGAAACCCCAAGGTCAGCTTGGCCAGAGAGCAATGTTATGGCTCTTAGCCTACAGTCTCTAACCCTGGCCAGCTGCTTAAAGGGGCAGATGAAAGAAAGGGGCTGGAATTGGAGCAGATGTTGAGGTTACAGCCAATCCAGCTGCTCTCTCCCAAACCCAGTGCCCAGTGGGGGCCCTCGAACACTGAGGATGAAGGAAGGACCTTACTGTGATGACAACATAGCATGGTCTCAGGGCAGCCACAGTTTCAGCGTGGCCAGGGGCCCCTGAGAGGCCAGGCAGAGTGGTTACTTGTGAACTGTTGAAGCATGGGGCATACCACACATGGGCTGCTGGTGGCCACTACGCTGACAAGTAGCTCACTGTCTGCCTTCAGAGTGCCTCAGCCAGCCGGCGGACATATTTGGGAATGCATTGATTTCTGAGGTGACAGAAATGAGGCCTTTTTGAGACATGTCCAAATAGAGAGGTAAAATGTTCACACGTGTCGGGGGTTAGTATGAGAACATAGGAAGAAAACAAATGATCATATACGAAAATATACTTGAGAGTAACAAGGACCTGAAAGAAGGGCATTTGTGAATTTGAGAGCCTCCCAAGGTCTAAAGCATCTCGTTTAAGTGTTAAATGTGTGCTGCAATCATGGCATGGTCAACCTGCATTCTGGGGACCCCTCTTCTAAAGAAGCCACACAAAACTCTGTCACCTGACATTTAGCTTTCCTGACACAACAGTAACCGAAGAGGAGGCTCCTTAAAGAGATGCCTAGAGAGGGCAGTTCATGTCAGCCAGTGTCTCAGACCACACTTCTTCAGATCGGGCTCCGAGGCAAGAAAGGAGGTCAGCGTGGCACCCCCCCCCCCCCAGGGACGTGCACACTTGGCTAGTAGTAGAAGCTGATGGATAGGTTTTCTAAAAATAAAGATCTTTCTGAATAAAAGGGACTGAACTACTGATAAATATGATAAGGATAATCTCAAAATCATTATGTTGAGAAAAACAGCCAGATAAAACTAAACAAATACATAATACTGTACACCTCTATTCATATGAACTCCAGAAAAGGCAGAACAGACTGCAGTGAAAGAAAGCAGATCAGTTGCTGTGTGAGGAAAGGATTTACCTAGGAACATGAGGGGACTGTTGGAGGTGGCAAGTATGTTTCCTATCATATTTGAGGCAATGGCATTACAGCTTATGCCAAAATGTATCAAGTTGTACGATGTAAATAGCACTGTCATGTATATCGCAATAAAAATGCAAAAATAAAAACCCAAAGTACAGATTCTCCAGTGCAAATGAATTAGAACCTCTGTGGACACAGCAGTCTGTTTTTGGTTTTTTAAAGTTTTTATTTATGTTTCTTTTGTGTACATGACGGAGGGAGAATATGCACTTGTGAAGAGCAGAGGACAACTTTTTGGGAAGCTGGTCCTCTCCTTCTACCTGTATGTGAGTTCTGGGGTTGATTACAAGTTGCCTGGCTTCCAAAGCAAGCACTTTATCTGAGCCATCTTGGTGACCCATAGGTTTTATTTTATTTTTTAAAATACCTTACTTATTTCAGTTTATTTATGTATGGTGTGTGTGTTTGTGTGTGTGCACGTATGTGCTCGCACATGCATGCACAGTATACATACAGAGGTCAGAGGACAACTTGGAATACATTCTGTCCTTGGACCTTGTAGGTGCCAGGGATCAAACTCAGGTCATCAGCCTTGGCAGCAAGTGCCTTTATCCACTGAGCCATCTCCTAGCCCCATACTCTTCATTATTAAAGTCAGTGTACTTCCCACGTCTTATTTTTATTTGAAAGAATGCTTTATTAAAAGGTGTAACCCTTAAGGAATGAAGTGTTTCTGGTGCAAGTGTGTCTGCCCGGTACTCAGAAGCTGCTATCTAAGGCACCTTTAGAGCATCTTGGTTTGAAGCTTAAACAGCAAAGTATTTCACACCTGGGATGAGGTTAGCTGGAAAAGACCATTCTCAAAACTATGCTCTAAGGCAGAAGTAAGTCCTCCCTTATTGTCAAGTGGGAAAAGGGGAGCCAGTTGTAAAGCCATTGGTAGGAGAAAAAAAGTAGTCCCCTTCTTTTAGAAATGATTCTGCCTAGAACCGCTTCTTTCTGAAATGATACAGCAAGAGACATCAAGTAAACGCAGAGACATTTCCTACCTCAAATGTGTACTTACTATCTGTGTAGGATCATTAGAATAATTTTATTTCCATTTTAAGATACTTTTCTTTTTGATCCATATGTGAACTCTAAATGCTCTCCCACTGACATACACTGCTTATGTGATAAAATGATCCAAATTCGATTTTAAACTTAGTGACTCCCGTTATCATACATGAACGCTTTGGCTCGGGTTTATCCACTGATGTTCTGGGCACGATGTGTTCGTGGGTTAGTGCTGAAATGACAGCTTCTACCTCCGGAGAATCCTATTTTATCAAACATGAAGTAAATCTGGTACACAATAAAAAAAAAAAAAAAAACGGGAGGAGAAAGGAAAGGGTCATAGGAAAGGAATATATAATCTGGAGTGGAAATAAAGGAGAAAGAAGTGAGGGAGAGAAGAGAGCAAACCTCTGCCTGACCACTGCCAAGTGAGCCCACGCCCAACAGTGTGTATCACGAAGGATAACTAAAGTGCCCCAACTTAGTGACAAGCACCCTGGACTGTAGGAAGGAAACAGATGCGTTGTTTTGTTTTTGTTTGGGAAAGGCGTGCAGGGGACTGCTCTGGGAATCCATGGCTCGTCCAGCACCAGCTTTACTCAACACAGACTTTACGCGTGCCCATCTGTAACCCTGGCGTGCTTACCTGGCTCCAGTGTAGTACATTTTGCACAGACGTTCCTGCAGGACAGTGTGTTGTATACACTTCCACTCTAGACTGAAAGATGAGTGTGAAGAGTTAGAGAATGAAAACAGGGTTACGCTGATATGCACTAATACATTTTCCTCTTCAAAAGATAAAATAATACTAATCTATACATAGTCTTTCAGAATATTAATCTCTCAGAGGTCAGAATATATCTGACTGCAAATACAGGCGATAAAAATGCACACACCTGCGGAGTGCAGAAAAGGCAACAGTGAGGTAAAATAACGCAAAGGGGTACAGGTTGCAATCACAGGTCATTTTTATCTTCTTAATGCTTTCCTAAAGTTCCAAACTTTACAAACTTAAAGTCTTCCTTTAATCATTAGGAAGAAATAAAAATATCCCTTTAAAAAAGTCTCTACCGCCTTCATTGCAGAATATTTTGTGGGGGGCAGGATCTGACTAGATAGCTCCAACTTGAACTTCAGGTCCTCCTGGCTTAGTCCCCCAAGTGCTTGGGTTACAGACTGCACCACCACACCTGCCTTTACTCCAGAATTTTAAAACCCTTTTCAGAATTCAACACTCTAAAATATAAATACATTTAGAAACACAAGCATGTTGTAAGCCAGAGATTTACACTTTGTAACAAGCATAAATACATATATATAGACAAATATATGCTAATGCGTATGGTATATATCTCTGTGTATATATGTATATGATGCTCCAGATTTAAACACACATAGCTTTTTTAAAAAGAACACACTTCTAGAATAAATGCTATATAAATATTGTGACTTGTGACCAATCCACACATTAATGGTTTCTATCTAGGTTCTGTGTAGGAAGCTGACAGGAATGAGCTCGAAGGCAGCAGCAGATGGCACCACTTGCTAAAGTTGATTGTTGTCTTTCTTTTTGTTGTTGTTGTTTTTGTTTTGTTTGTTTGTTTTTTCAAGACAGGGTTTCTCTGTGTAGCTTTGGTGCCTGTCCTGGGTCTCGCTCTGTAGACCAAGCTGGCCTCGAACTCACAGAGATCCGCCTGGCTCTGCCTCCCAAGTGCTGGAATTAAAGTCATGCGCCACCACTGCCCCATGATTTTAATGTTGTGTTTCTTAAATGAAAGACTACAATGTCTGGGTCCAGGTCTGCATCTCTCATACAAATAAGCACATCTATAAATAATAACTGACAGCTGAGATCAAGTCTCAGTGTCAATGGACATACGGTGTTTAAATTCTTCTCATTGAAGCCACATATAAGAAAGAAGACATTTGTGCAAAGCTCCCTCATGATGACGTGGGTGCAAACGTGAGTACTCAGCCATTTCAGCACTGCGTTCTGGGGTAAAAACTGTCTGTGTCCAAACAAGTCCTGTAAAAGAAAAAGAAACCCAAGAATGGGTCAGCATTGCAGCCTGATGTACCAGCTTCAACATCCCTTTAGACATACAGACATACAGGATTCTCCACAAGGGGCCTCCAGAACACAACGGCAATCAACCCACATTCAAGCAGGGAACCTGTGAGATCTTTCTGGACTAAGTCAGATGCACTTAGAGACATGTACTGAAGTTCCCAAAATGAAAAGATAGAGGCAGAAAGCTATGTAAGTTTATAGTAGACCATTATAAAGGGAGATGACCATGACCATCTGTTGAAGGGCTCTTCCCAGCTGTTTAGGCTCTGACTAAGTATGTTTCTCTCTAATCCAATATTAGCCAAATCCAGCTGTTTAGGCTCTGACTAAGTATGTTTCTCTCTAATCCAATATTAGCCAGATCCAGGCCCCCTGCAGGCTGTTTACTATTGTCTGTTTGTTTGTTTGTTTCAAAACAGGGTCTTGCTGGATAGCCTTGGCTGGCCTCAAACTCATGAGAATCCTGCTGCCTCAGTCTCTCGAAGGTGTGAGCCATCATGAACGATTATTGTTAATTTATTAAGAAATATTTTTATGATAGTACAACACTTAAGATTGACCATTTGAATCATTTTTAACTGCTCAGTTCAGTGGCAAGCACATTCATGCTTGTGCAATTATCCCTATGATCCATCTTCAGATTGATCATTTTGCACCTTGTACCTGCACCCATTAAACAATTACTCTGAACCCACTAGATAGTTAATTACTTCTCACTTCCCCTGCTCCCAGCACCACATGAGGTTCTGTAAGTTTTAGTGGAATACAGCCACAGTATCAGTTAAATGAATTATCCCTGGCTGCTTTGGTAGACAGGAATAGTCAACAGAAACCACTTGGCCCACAAGGCCAAATTCACTTGCTCTCTGGCTCTTTATAAAAGAAGCTTACCAATTCTTAGTCTACATTGTCCTTAACCAATAGTCACTGAATCTGTGCTCCTGTAGAGCCAGGCCATCACTACATTCTCAAGGCAGATCTTCTTGTACTATGCAACAGGAGACAAGTCTACCTTATATGGAACTCAGATCTGTCCCTTTGCAATCTTGCTCACACCCACTCACGTGTTGTGAGCACATACCCACCATTCCAAGCAAGAATGAAAAACTCAAATATCTACAAAAGAAATGTTGTGGGTTGAGTTATGTCCCCTTAAAAGGCAGACATTTATGTTTTAACTGTCAGGGTTTGAGACTGGCCTTATTTTGAGATTGGGTCTTTTCAGATGAATCAAGTGATAGAGAAGTTGGATCTTCATGTGACATGATTAGTGTCCTTTTAAAGAGGGGAAATCTGGCCACAAAAAAAAAAAAAAACCAGACATGTACACAGATAAAACAGCAACTAACGATGAAGGCAGAAACCAGGATGATGATTCTACAGCCAAAATGGTCAAAGGTCACCAGCACACCACCAGGAGGGACAAGACATGCAGCCCATTTGCCTTAGAACCTAGGAGCGGGACACAGGGAAGCTGTAAACACAAATGAATGAAGCTGCACACGCAGCCTGCTTCTCTGCCTCTGAGTGGATGATTGGGGAATATCAACAACTTGACGAAACTGAATGTTCATGCTGAGCTCAGCACTATGACTACTACTTGCTCTACTTGTTCTGGCTTATCACTAATCCACAGAATGGCGAAACATAGCTTCCTTTTTCCTCCCTTTAAAAAATGTCAGCTATCTGATCTGCTGTGTAAATATCACACTAGTTTAAATGGATAATATTGTATTCTAGTTTCTTCCAGAAAACTCGGTCATCCACAGACCGCCTGTGATCTCTGTCTGTCTTAGTTAGGGTTTCTCTTACTTCGATAAAATTCCATGGTCAAAGCAACTTGAGGAAGAAAGGATTTATTTCAGCTTATAGTTCCACATCACAGTCCATTATCTAAGGAAGAGTCAGGGTAGGAACTCACACTGGCCAGGAACCTGGAGGCAGGAACTGATACGGAAGCCATGACAAAGTGCGAGTCACTGGCTTGCTCCCTCATGGCCTGCTCAGTCTGCTTTCTTCCAGCATCCAGGACCACCTGTCCAGGGGTGGCACTGTCTGCAATGGGATGCTCTCTCCTGCATCAATCACTAATTAAGAAAACACCCCCCAAAGCTGGCCTACATGCCAGTCCAGCAGAGGGAATCTCTCCATTGAGTTTGCTCTTCCCAAATGACTGTAGCCTGTGTCAAGCTGACATTAAAAACTAGGCAGCACACTGTCAAATCAATCTTCTGTTGGACAATGTCTCAAACCTGAAAACAGACATTAGGTCCGAATGATCTTTCCTGAACAGCCACACAAGAAGTAACTAAAAAGAACCAGGAAGTAAATTCCACAATGGAGAAAAGGTCATGTGACATGGAAAGTGAGCCCATTCACAACTCTTGTCTTAGTGTGTCTACATAAATCACCGGACAACTGCACATACTTTTGAAGTTCTCTATTTAGCAGGATGATGTATCATTGGCTCACATCACAGGCTGATGAAGGATAAAGTTGACCTGGTGCCTCAGAACTACCGACCCAACTACTACTGTAGCAAACTCCACGGAAAACACATCAATGCATGTGATATACACAGATAAAGGAGAATTTGCCTTAAGTGTTTGTAGGCATGATCATATTGACTTCAATGGGTTTGTAAATTATACTTTCGTATTTTTTTCAAAGGATTAGAGGGGGAACACATTACTTCCACAAAAGTGACATGTACTTTTCACAGCAGCTTAATGCAATGGTTTTTATGACTATTTATTCGTTTGGTTTTATTTTTTTGTTTGTTTGTTAGTTTTTGTTTTTACTTTCCCGGTGTGTGCCCCAAAGCACTCTAGTCTGAAACCATGATTCCCAAATGCCAGGCCCATAGTCTTCATTAGAAATCATGGAGAATGTTTTGTAAAAACACAGATCCCTGATCTCCACTCCAGATTTTACAGAACACCATTTCTAAAGTGGGACGGGGGAAGGTGTGGCATTTTTAGGTTTACAAAGCTAACTCATAAACTCAAAGGAACAAGCTAGATTTATAAAAATGCATTCCTACAGCAACAACCACACTCTCCTGTATCCACTCTAGAGCTCCTCCCCCAAGCTAGATGTCTACCAAAGCAGTCAACTATATTAGCAGGTCTTCATAATCAAAAACTGCCTATGTTAATGAGGAAATCAATTCACAGGTGAGCTCTCCATGGGAGAAATGTTCAGTCTGCAGAACAATCTATAGAGTTGGATACCACCTGCGTTGAAACAAAACAATATATTTCTCTTGGTGCATCTCTGTGTGCATAAATACATTTGTGGGGTCTGTAGGACCTAGTATTCAGGAATTACTTGTAACTTCTGAAGTGTTTGCAATGCAAATCAATACTTCTATTAACAAGCCAGTCAAAACAAACTTTTATCAGCATGTTTGCTGGTGCCCTGAATTCCTACCACAAGAGTCTGACTAACTGTAGCTCTTTATAACCCCCAACTTACTGTGTCACAGTTACAAAAACAATGAAGTATAACAACATTATAGTCCTTCTACCTCGTTAAGAGTCTCATTAAGAGCATGGTATATATTTCCTTTAAAAGACTTTAAAGTGGCCTGAGAGAGAGCAAAAGCAAGAGAGACAGAGACAGAGAGACAGAGACAGAGAGAGAGCAAGCTATGTTACACCTACCTCTAAGTAATAAGTCACTTAATAGCAGGGGCAAGTTCTAAGTCCCAAGTTCTCAAGGAATATTAGCATTGTGCAACCACCACATAGTATCATTACACAATTCTAGATGGGACAGGTCAATCACTTGACACAGCTACTTGATGTAATCAAAAAATGTGGTGAACACGAGATTCACGAGGCCACTGCTGGCACATCATGTCACAAGCCTTTACAATAAGCATTTTTGCAAGATGAAGAAGTACGTGCTAAAATAATGATTTAAAGGATAGGATATAAATAAGTCAGCAATAGTTATTATCATTATCAAGAATAGCATTCTGCTTTGCTTCTGTTGCTGTAAAACACTCTAACCAAAAGCAATCTGAGAGAGAAAGGGGTTTATTTCATCTAACACATCCAGGTCACATTCCATCATAGGGGGAAATCAGGGAAGGAACTTAAAGGTAGGAACCACGGAGATTCTTGCTGGCTCACTCGCAGGCTAACACTTAGGTAGCTTTCTTATACAACCCAGGGCCACTTGCATAGGGATGATGCTGCCCACTGTAGTCTGAGACTTCCTGTATTAATAGTCAAGACAATATCCCATAGGCATGCCACAGGCCAATGTGATTTAGGTAATTTCTCAATTAGGACTTTTTTTTCTCAGATGACCCTAGGCTGTGTCAAGTTGGCAGTTAAAGCTAACTATGGCATAAATACTAGGCATAATTATGTGCCCTACACTTTTATGTAACTCTTGTGACCATAGATTTTTGTATGCTAGCATCACCACAAATATGTGAACTATATGTTGGACCACCACTAGTTAATAGGAAGTTTTCAGTTTCAGTGTAATCTGCTGGGCCCACAATCCAATGCATGATTCCTCAGTGTCAAAAACCCATTACAGGGCTGGAAATGCAGCCTTTAAAGGTTAGACTTACAACCAAACCATCGACTGTATATAACGCTCTATAGGATTTCGAGTATGTGTGTGTGTGTGTGTGTGTGTGTGTGTGTGTGTGTGTGTGTGTGTGTGTTTATAAAATACATGGCACAGGAATAATGGATTGTCCGTTCTTAATGAGCTTAAACTCCTTCTCATGAGTGCTGCTTCCCCTTGGAATGCAGCTTAGAAATGAATAGTTCTAGGGGTGAAGCACTGATACGCTTAAGGGCCAAATCATACCTTAGATCATTTTCAGCATGGCTAGCGACAGGCACATAGAAATGGCATATTTCTGGTCTCCTATCCCCTGTCTACCCCTGTGTACCCACCTGCCCTGTGGATGAAAAGCAACTTAATGAACGCTTAAGTTACTTTTTCAAAGACTTCCTTGTACCTTCTTTGTAAGGTGGATAGGGAGCTGAACTAGTGTGTTAACTATGAATACGTGCAGCTGTGTGTCTAGTTAATAACATGGTTCCCTAGGCACCTCTGCAGGAGGAGGGTGGTAAGTACACTCACTCACTGTTCCCGTAATAGCATACACAGAGGACACTGCCAAGTCTCCACTAATGACTAAGTTTTCAGCTCAGAAGAGAATATCTGAGGAGAAGGGGGATGGGTGTGACCCAAGTACCTCAATAAGAAGGTCTGGCAACTGTCCAATCTTGGTCAGAGGGCTCATGGAAAAATGGAGAGACACCACGGGAGCCATGGCGAAAAACATTTTAATCTTCTTTGCCAGCTCGGGTATCTGTGAAAATGCTATAAAACCTGTGGGGCAAAAGAAAGAATTAGATTGTCTAGTACTGCCTCCACAAAACAGAAGGGTCACTCATTGTGCCCTACAGAGGAAGTCCAGTAACCAGCCACACATGTTGAACACTTGGACAGCCCTCTCAAACATTCTGGCTCAGAAACACAGAATTTAGGTCCAGATTTCAGCCTGCAGTATGCATGGAAATAAGTCCAGGGAAAGAGAACCAGGAAGTAGTCCGTCTCCATGGCAATGTGAATCTCTACAGCTCCACCCTACACTTCTACCCCGCCCTAATTTGCAAACCATCCAAGCAGAACACCCGGGACTCGGAAGCCACATTTAGACTCCCTCACTGTAAAATATTTTTTACACTTCTCTCAGATCTCTCCAAGCTACTTGTCTCTAGAACACTTTAGAAATAACAGACTTTAGACAAGTCACCTAGTCATAAAAGGGGTAACGTTGTCCCTGGAATACTTTAGAACAATGGACTTCAAGAGACAAGTCACCTAGTCATAAAAGAAGTAACATAAATAAAGAAGAATAGAGAAGAACATGCAGCGTCATTTTTCTGGAGGGGGAGGCAATTTAACAACATGTTAACACCTGGAAATCACTCATACTTTTCACTTTGTGAATCTCCTTGCAGAATGTACTCTGAGCAGATCATGTGCCATGAACACGAAGGTGTTAGTGAACATGAAAATGGCAGAATTTAGTAAGTTATGGAACATGTGCCCAGCCTCTCATTAGAGAAACTTGCTTGTTAAAATTAATGCTAATTTCCATTTTTTAAACTTTGCAAAGTTTTGTACTTTTCTTTATAACAAAAACGTATTGAACTGAGAAGACAGCTCAATCCATAAAGTGCTCGCCATGCAAACAGAGCCTGAGCTTAAGCCCCAAAGCCCATGTCACAAAGCCAGGTGTGGTGGTCTGCAATTCTAGTTTCAGCACTAGGACGGTGGGGACAGGTGTATCCTTGAGGCTGCCTGGCAGTTGATCTAGTCTAACCAGTGTCTAGCCCAGGCCAGTGAGAGATTCAAAAGAACAAGATGGGCAATGCCTGAGAAGGACTGACAACCAAGGTTATGCTCTGGCCTACACACACATAACACACACACACACACACACACACACACACACACACACACACACGCAGAAACATATTACTTTTATAATCAACATAAATGAAAATGCAAATAGCTTTCAAAAACTATAAAGTATAAACTTTCATCTTGTAGTTGTGGTTCACTTAAGTTTATTTCTTTAATTACTGATTTGTTTATTTTAGGTAGTGCTAGGGGATAAACCCTGGGGTTCAAACACCTTAGGCGAGCACTCTACACCGAACTACACCACAGCCTGGCACTGAACATTTAAGTATATTTTCTTATTGACTCTTTAAGGTTTCTGACACTGGAAAACTTCCCACTTTTCTGCCCTCTCACATCCCTACATTGCTTAAATTGGAAAACACATAACAGGACATAGCTTACATCAATTCTTTCAATTTTAAGATACTTAACAATTTATACTAAATTCTGAATTTCTGTAGATTATGACTGAACATTCCTTGCTCCACTCATGATTTCTGCTTGGCATTTAAAAAAAATCTGTATTTGAAGTAACATCATTTTTGTGTGACATCACTTCACTTCAATGACATATGGCCTTTTCCCTCTTCATTGCATACATACCTATGGTGGATCCTTGAGAGTGGCCCAGATAAAACACTTGTTCTTGACCAGTTGTATTCACAATGTAGTTAATTGAAGCAGGTAGGTCATATTTTGCCATCTCATCAAAACTACAATCCAAAAGACAAAGGACTCTTCAAATGACATAGCACACAAAAGAGTAGAACAGCACCCAGATACTTGGCATGAAGTGTGTTAGCACACAGAGCATGGCCAAAGAAGCCTGCATGAGTTCAGAACACAACCATGTCAAGGACCAAGGAAGTCCCCTGCATTCCCTTCCAATTGTATCTCCTGAAGGTAACACCTCTAATTTTTCACATCTATAAATTAGCTTTATTCACTTTGCATATTTCCTGTAAATGGGATTATGTAACCTAACTTCTTTCATACCTGGCTTCCTCCATGTTGGTACATGACTATAGCTGTTTATTCTCATGTTTTTATGTTAATATACCATACTTGGATCATTGAATGTACTGCTGGCATGCATTTGAGTATCTGTTGTTATGAGTGTAAATGGTGTTACAATATACATTTTCTAATAAATGTCTTTTGGTAAAAGTTCTCACTCTTGTGATTCATGACTAAGGTAGCTTTAGTTTTATCAAAAGGAAGCATCCATAGGGCCAGCCTTCTATAATACCTGCTACACTATGCTGTAGTCTTTAACTAGGTAAGGGTGTGTGTGTGTGTGTGTGTGTGTGTGTGTGTGTGTGTCTTAGATGAGGAAAGTGACAATCCAGTTGTTAGAAAGCACTTAGAATATGCCAGGCTCTGTGGAAGCTCCTTCCTTGAACCCTTTACTTTAGGCCCAGTGAGTTTATGGTTTATGAGAGGCCTTTATTATCCCTATTTTATAGATAAGGCAACAGACACAGACAGTTTATAGCTGTGCCAAGTGTCACATAGCAGTTGATTGGTAGAGCCAGGAGTAAGAAAGAGAGAGATAGAGAGAGAAGTAAAATGAACATGTGAGTATGTGTGTTATGGGGAGGGGGGTGCCTGATATTTAACCTAGCAGCTCCTCCCCCATGCCAGGAATGTTAAGAATAACTTAAGAATGCCTAACTGAATGTAATCACTTATGCATTCATTTATTTAAATTTACCTTCATGTTGGTTATTAAATTCCTGAGAAGTTTCACAACTGTTCAAGAGACATCAGTTTCCTTATACAACTTGACAGTTACTCCTAAATCCACCTCCCAGCTAAATTTCCATGTGTCTAAAGATACCGAGTCATAATCAACTGTGATGTACCTGAAGGCCCAGAATTCATTCTGAGAAACTGAAAGAGTCGTGTGTCTCTGAGACCAGGTGTTCCCTCTGCTGTTCCCCATCCACACATCAAAACCAGCATCGGCCAGAATGAAACCCAGGCTGTTATTGTCAATGTTCGTGACCCAGTTACTAGAATCTGCCAGAAAGCCATGCTGAAGATATACGACTGGTCTGGGACCTGAAAAACATTGACGTTTAGAAAGTGATATATCCAATCTTCTCAGCAAACATGATGTCTTGCTAAGCAGTCAACAGTGAAGAGAAACCAAAGCAAACAGAACAACAGAAACAAATGAGCAAGCTGAGGGGCACATTTCCTTGAAACAGTGCTGACAAGGAGACAGCAAACTCCACTTCTTTTTTTATTTTTTGCATCTCTGCTAACAAACCATTGACTTAAGCATCAAAATAAAATTCAGTAGATTTGGGGAACTTGCAAAATGTTTCTATAATTTGCTCACAATGATTCCAAACAAAATTGGTGTGGTAGTATTGTGTTCCCCAAAATATTGTGCACCCTAATAAACTTATCTGGCGTCAGAGAATGGAACAGTCACTAGATACAGAGGCTAAAAAATGGTAGCACTCACACCTTTAATCCTAGCCTTCTGGAGGCATGGATCTCTGTGAGTTCAAGGCCACACTGAAAACAGCCAGGCATGGTAACTCACGACTTTAATCCCAAGAAGTGAGCCTTTAATCCCAGGGAGTGATGGCAGATAGCAGAGAGATTATATAAGGAGTGAAGACTAGGAACTAGAAGCTTTTGGCTGGTTAAACTTTTAGGCTTTGAGCAGCACAGTTCAAAGAGCCATTCAGATGAGGACTCAGAAGCTTCCAGTCTGAGGAAACAGGATCAGCTGAGGAATTGTAAGGTGAGGAAGTTGTGGCTTGTTTTGCCTCTCTGATCTTCCAGCGTTCACCCCAATACCTGGCCCAGGTTTGTTTTTATTAATAAGACTCTTTAAGATTCATGCTACAAACTGGGAGGGAAAATGTCACACACAACGAGATGGCTCTATCCACCCACAACGGCTGAACCCTAAGCAGAGATAACAGCAACTAGAAGAGTAAGAGGATGGCAGAAACACTCCCGAGTGCTTTGGGCAGCGTGGATCCTCATTTCTAACATTTGAACAGAACTAAGTATAGACGCTGAGTGGCAGTGACATGTCAATGTACACCACTGAGGGTGTGCTTAAAAGATGAGGCTATGTGTGTACAGGAGCAGAGGCATATGGGAAATCTCTCTCTATTGATGTTTATAGCAGATTTAGTCATTGCCAAAATTTGGAAGTCTTGGTTGCTCAACCGTGCATCTACTTGATTTTGAAGTGACCCTAAACCTGTTATTTAAAAAAAAAAGTATAATTGTAGAATAAAGTCCTATGGAAGAAGAAGACATGAGTTTGAGATGGGAATCTGAAGGGGAACACAGAGGAACTGCGGGGTAGGGGGAGAGTAGGTATGATAAACATGTATGTGCTCACATATTAAATCCTCAAAAATGTTAAAGAAAGTTAAATAGAAAAAACACACACATGAATTCCAAATGTGTATGTGCATTTGTCTTCTATTCACCTCTTCCTGAGACAGTTAAACTGCCAGAAAAACAAAGACTTGGAGGTACAAGCCCCTTCCCTCACCCTCAGACAACCTGACCTCGAGAGACTTACGGGGCGCGATCATGCAGTCACTCACCAAGCAGAGCCTTATTCAGCACCACCTGTATGACAGGGCCTTCTTCTCAGCACTGGAGACAGAGCAAGGAGCAAAAGCAAAAAAAAAAAAAACAGCACCTTGGAGAATGAGCCAACCCCGGGTCCATTACCTTCTTCACTTTCTAACGGTCTCTTTAAGGCTATGTTGGCAAGACGGAATTTACTGCAAAGGGTCTACCTTCAAGGCACTGTGCTAGATGTACCTTCCCTGCCTTCAATGAAGATTTTAGTTCATCTTGGGAAATATGAAAAATAATCATTAAAAGTTTGAAATTATAAACAACATGACAAAAATTACTGAAACTCCTGCCTCTGGGAGCTAATCCAAAAAAAAACAAAACAAACAAAAAAAAATCCTGAAGTATCATTTGTCTAGCCAAGGGCAGGCAAAGTGACTTCATCCTGGTCACCTAAACAGCTACCACCAAGCAGGCTGGGGACAGCAGCCCTACGACAATACACAAATGCTGCCTGTGTGGTGAGGTGAATTTCGGGTAAAGTTAGGCTTGGCAATGACTGTGGTTCACAGGAGGAAGGCTTAGTGTGTGGGAAATTCCTCCTGCCTCCCAAGACACGAGTCTTCATGGGAAGCTACTTCACTCCAAAAAGTCACGGGGAACCAGCTGAGGTCTAAGGAAGTAATAAAACCAAGGGCAAGAGGAAGGAGGTCAAAGTTGAGTGTGTCAGCATGACACAGAACTCAGTTTTCACGAGCCATAAAGTCTCACTGGGTTGATTCAACTTCATAACTGGTAGCCAGGGCCAGTGAGTGATCTTAGACTGCCAGGCTAAGGGGAGCCTTGCAGTTCCTAGGGAAGGTTATGACCTCAGCCCAGTGGCCCCACCTCAGGAATTAGCTTTAAATGGTAGAATTCTTTGCCTGACCCAGGAACTGCAAGGCCCTCTGCAGCCTGGCATCTTAAGTTCCTTGCTAGTTTGGGAAGAGTGTGCACACCCCACAAAAAGATTGAGTATCTTTCTACAATAGCAGATTCTAAACACACTGGTAAGAGGGACCTTGAATGTGGTATGTACCCATTTCCATGGTTCCTTGTGAGGAAGTACAAGCTAGAGCTTCCCCTCAACTTACATCTCCCAGAATTGGTTACATAACTCATGCAGTCCACAGGAGCTCAGTACCCAGCCAAGCGGGACCTAGGCTCCAGACAAACCCCATGTCCAAGGGCTGGCACAACCATCCCTGAGGTAGACTTCAGTCTAACAGCTTTCTGAACAAACTCTCCTCACATGATAACCTAAGCAAGCTTCTACAGTCTGAATGGCTTACCATACTCTATTGTTCAAAACAGCTACCAATTATGTTCGAGGCCTATGTCGTATATGGCTTACATTTTCATATCCATGTTAAGGATAAGGCGACCCCACATGTGGAGAAAACAACTGGCCCTAGAACATTCAGTCAGCAGTGTGCCAACACTGAGATCCAGGTCTATCTCATGTCAAACGTCTTGCTTTTAGCCAGTGATCTAAAGGAAAAGTAATTTTAAAAACTAAAGTAGAAAAGAGGTATGCACACAAATATTAGCTCTGTCTCCAGCCAGCTCATGGCAAGTCAAGTAGCCTATGCCAAAATTTGCTATCTTCTGAAACAATCCCAAGTGATTATGAAACAGACACATCACTGGCTTTGGCCCTGATCTGGAGAATGAGGAACTCCATGCACAGAGCCTGGCCTAGAAGGCCTTGTTTTTGAAGCTTCCTTGGCTATTCTTAATCAGCCCACCAGAGCTGTATTCAGATCTACTTAAAGGGAATTATGGCCAGACACTTGATTCAGCAGTTGGGCCAGGGCAGAATGAGTTACCTAAAATGCCCAGGAAAAAGCCAAAAGACATAGACATCCCCCAACAAGCTTCCACGGGGGATCATTAGGACCTCCTCAATGATTGGTAAGAATGGATTGTGGGGTTAATAGCTCGCTGGTACAGCAAAGCCTAGTGTGTGTGAAGCCCCAGGCTTGCTCTTCAGTTCCACACAAATTAAAAACAACAATTGGGTTTTTACTTGTCCACAATAAGGCTCCTGAGTGAATTTTTATAGTCTAATTTTAGTTTGAAGATTCGGCCTTAAAAAAAAAAGTTCAAATACTATAGATTTCTGTCCCTTTCTGCTGTAGTGACAAAATACCTAAGAATGGTTAATTTATAAAGACAGAGATTTACCACTTTGAATTCAAGGCTCAGAAGTCTAAGGCTGTTGTTTTCTTCATTATCCCATGTGGTAGAAGTTGGCAGTGTAAAAAGGCATGTGCCTTAACCCCCATAACCTCATTTTCCTCATCTGTGATACAGGCTAACCAGAATCCTAACGATTCATTTGATGATTCATGTGTGACAGGGGGCACTTGGCTTGTCCACAGCAAGCAATCAGATAGTTATGTGGCCTCTGTCAGTGTCCAGGCCTTCACCTCTCAAAGTCTCTCTGCAGGAAAGGGAGTGATCTACACTGCCCGAAGGAACACAAAACCCTGCGTCACTAGGTCCCATCTCTAACGTTCTGTGCTGTTCTCCACACCCCCAGTGACAGTCACTGTGACCATTAAGCATCAACAAGGCAGCAACGTGACCCACACCGTTCACTGCAGGGCCTGCAGCAGCTGAAGCTGAATCTGGCACAGGGCGCACACAGTAAAACGCAGCAAACACATGACGGAGCAACACTTTCCTGATTCCTACCCGCCCACCCACGACATGACTCACCCTGTCCACACTGTGCACACCACCCACCCAGTAACCACTCAGTACTTAGCTGTTCCAACTGCAGATCTGCTGTTATAGTCTAGCAGTAGTTATGTTTAAGGCTTCCTTAATAAACAATGCTGGCAATCTTATTATAAGACATTGTTATCATTGTTCTATTATATTATAATCCTTGATAATTTCCTACCATCTCTAGTGTATTGACTAAATTTTATCATGGGCCTAGTTGTATAGAAAAAATATAATATCTATGGAATTCAGAAGTATCTGCTGGTGATACTGAAATATATCACTCACAGCTACGTGCAGACCATGAACTGTCTAGGCACCGGCACAGACAGAGGGAGATAGAAGCATTCCAAATGCACTCCGTAGAACACTGAATTACAGAGATTCCTGCATAGTCAGGATGGTGAGATACCCTTTCTGTCATTCTACTTATTTTGCAGACTGAATTTTGAAGAGAAGACCATGCCTCCACCCATCCGCCCCTTGCCACACAATTAGTATATGGTGGATAAAATCTGTATCATCCAACATCAAGGTGCCCATCATTCCTGTCTGGAACTGCCTTTTTGCCTTCCCTGCCTTTCCAGACCATCAGAGAAGCTGCACATAACCACAACATGAGTCCACAGTTCAGTGAATGCTGAGAAATGATTAGCTCTGGAGAGCAGCAGAGAGGCTCACAGAGGGAGCATCAGCAGGGAGCGAGCATACACAGAGATGGTAACACC